TACAAAAGGCTGGAAGACCAGAAGTGTACGAGAGGAAGGAATCTGGATGCCTTGGTGGCTGCTTGTATTTACATTGCGTGTCGGCAAGAAGGCAAAGCACGCACTGTAAAAGGTACTACCATGATATCTTATTATGTAGATTAATGGTTTAGTCCTCTGTATGAACTTCTCTGAACCTTTGGGTGTTAACTAGAAATATGCTCAATCGCCAATGGAGCTACAAAGAAGGAAATTGGCCGAGCAAAAGAGTTCATTGTGAAACAATTGAAGGTTGAAATGGGAGACTCAATGGAGATGGGGACTATACATGCTGGAGACTATCTGGTGAGTGATAGCAAGTGTTGTGGTCTGCTCCTCTTTGTGAGCGCATTCAGTACAATATGAATATTTGTGTATTATCTGACACGGACCATGCATGAATGTCAGAGACGTTTTTGTTCTAACATTGGAATGAACCATGAAGAGATTAAGGCTGTCCAGGAAACTGTCAAGAAGTCAGAAGAGTTTGATATAAGGTACAGAAGTGTTTTTGGTTGCAGTTATCCTCTAATCAAGTCATCAAATATTAATTATTTGTGCCTTAACCACAAGTAATTTTAGTCTAGTAATCAAGTAGATTGTGGATATGAAAAGATTAGAGCTTTAAACAACCGAAGGAAATTGGGTTTCGTCACTTTGATCACTAGCCACAGATTTGTATGTGACTATCTCATTGATCAAATAACATAAATGTTTATTCCTGATTTTGCAGGAGGAGTCCTATTTCGATTGCTGCAGCAATAATATACATGCTAACACAGCTTACGGATTCAAAGAAACCCCTGCGAGGTTTGGGCATTACCTTCTTTTTGTAAGCCCTGGCAATATACTATATTTTACCGCGCTATACTTTTAAGGCTTCCAATGCTATACTTCTATTGTTTCCAAGTTGACTATTGGTTGCGTAAAGAATAGTGCTGATCTAGATATACTGAAGATACTTTTATTCCAGCTCTGTAGCTTGACTGATAGGGTGTACATGCAGATATCTCAATTGCAACTACAGTTGCAGAAGGGACTATAAAGAATGCATATAAGGATCTCTATCCACATGCTTCCAAAATTATACCTCAATGGTATCTCAAGGATAAGGACATTAAGAGCCTAAGCAGTCCCAAGGCATAGAAGTTCGATTTTTACAGCACCTGCTGCTCTCACTAATCGTTTCCAAGTGTTATTTCTATGTTATGTATGGCAGCGCTTAAGGGCATATCGGTTGAAGGACCTCAAAGAGCCTGTGTAGTTTAGATTAGTTTTTAGCAGTACGCGAATTTGCTGCTAGAAAGGCCTAAACCTTCAAGAAAGTGCCTAGAATAGAGACAATTAGATAGATGTATTGAAGTTATAAGGGTAGTGTAGTATAATATGTTGATCCCCTTAGTAATCAGAATCTTTTTCATTTCCACTTTTCTTCCCTCCCACAATACAGATAGGCTAATTAATTTCATAATCTATTTGATGTATATGATAAGGCCTTTGGTTGTCTATTTCTTTTTTATGGTTATCAATTGTCATTGGCAACATTTTTTCATTGTTTGTTCAGTCGAGGGTTAATAGGAAACAATCGATCTACCTTCTTAAGGTACATTTTTTCATAGACCTATATAAAGAGTAAGGTCTATGTACATTTTACCCTTTTCAGACTATTTGTTGGAGGGTTTTTCCGAAATTTTTTGAGGCTAGTGACCCACAGTACAATACAATAAAATGATGAAATGAAAAAGGGTCCATGAACCTTTTCTATCCACATCTATTCAAAAACAAAGTATATTGAATCGATCTTAATTACATGCTTCTATCCCTAGCAAAATAATATTTTTAGGGCCCGTTTGGTCATGCGATATGGTATCATGATATGAAATTGAAGTTTTGTTTGGACATGTGATATGAAATTTTTGTGTTGTATATTTTCTTATAAACATAAAAATTCCATAAGTTGTAAAACTATTAAAATAGCCCCAATTGTTTATTCAATCTTATTAAATAAACAAAAATTTATAAAATCACATAATAAATTATTACAAAGTTATTTGTTCTCCACTTAAGTAATTGTTTCATTTAACTTTAATTTAATAAAAATATTTGAACATAAATTGTAGTATACTAGTCTTTAGTATAATCCTCCCACATAGTACGGACAATTTCCTCACGTTGAACTTGCATTTCTCGATCATGTGACCAAGAAGATGAACCAACATTGTTACTTTGAGCCATTTGTTGGTCAATATCATCCGCAACTATATTTTCATACTCATGTCCACGTAGGCACATATATACCTTTAAAATACACTATTAAATAGTACGGGGGGAGGGGGGGTAAAAGGTCATTTCCAAAGTTTGGTATCGTAACAGCAATTTCGACCAAAGTTTGAGTATTTTTTTAGACCTTTTTCCCTAAAATATAAATGTGCACTTATTAAGGCCATCATAAGTTATTAGTTGACAAATTTCAAATAAATATAAGAGTTAGAACCATAGATTTGATTCAAGAGGTTGATAATTTGGTATACCCCACATTTTACTATGCTTGTTGTAATGCTTAAAAATCTAAGAAGAATAGAAAAAGAATTTACAATTCACTTTGTTCAACACTTTTCGACTATTGATTCATATTTTTGATAGATATGGAATCAGTGTAAAACGCATGTCCAAACGCTGATTCCATCTCACGATACCATAACGTGATATGGTATCGCATGGCCAAACGCCTACTTAAAATACTTGAATCCATCTTAATTACATGCTTCTATCCCTAGCAAAAAATTATTTCCAAACAAATTGAGTAATCAGGGGTGGCTCAACGCAATCGGGGGCCTAAAGCGAAATCTTATTTAGAGACCTAAAATCTAAATAAATTTCACATGCATTTATTTAAAATTTATTTCTCTTACATTTTAAAATGCAAAGTATTACTTAATATATATTTTTCATAAATAATTTATTCAGTTTCTTTTTCAATTATTAGTTTTAGATAATATTTTATTTTTTTCAATTCAACGTTGAAAAATATAATATCATTTTACTCGGGCAATCATTATATGAATTGTTAACATAGTTTCATAAGTTATTAGTTGACAAATTTCAAATAAATATAAGAGTTAGAACCATAGATTTGATTCAAGAGGTTGATAATTTGGTATACCCCACATTTTACTATGCTTGTTGTAATGCTTAAAAATCTAAGAAGAAATGGAAAAAGAATTTACAATTCACTTTGTTCAACACTTTTCTACTATTGATTGATATTTTTGACAGATTATTACTCTAACTTATCAAAAAATTAATGAAGAGAGTGTAAAAGGAGTTAAAAAGAATAAAATATGTGAGTATTAGTGGAGAGAGTGTAAGAAAATAAAACAATATTTTCTTGATTTCTTCTATTTGAATGTGGGTTAAAAAGAATAAAATAATAATTTTAAATATATACTTTTTATCATAAATAATTAATATTTTTTCTATAAAAAATTAACACATAATTTATTCTTAGTAAAAAATTGAGGCCCCCTAAAATTAGGGTCCTAAGGCCAATGTCTTATTAAAGTATGCATAGAGCTACTGTGAGTAATAGAGGAAAAATATTTGGGCATGGTAGACTTGTAAACTCATGCAGACCCATGTCCAGCCATGCATCAAAATCTTGTTGCCACGGTCCGAGTAAGGTAAGAGCTATCCAAATGCAAATACCTTCAAATAATAAATAAACAAAAGTAATTAATAATTATCCTTTTCAACTAAAATATTTATATACATTAGAATAAATCCATGGTATGAGATGAGTATCATAATATAAAAATGCTATGAGCAATCAATATCAATACCAGTGAGGTCTGAATTTTCTTCCACACAATAAAAGTGGTTTCAGTAATGATCAATCGCTTGCTTTTATCTTGAATGTATACCATTATCTAAACATAATAAGTTTTTTTTTCAGCCGCTTAATTTTTACCTCTAAATTCGACGCTAATTATCAACTCCATTTCCATATTATTGATAGCCTTAAAAACACTAATTTACACGATTAATTAAATCTAAATAAATTGGCATTTTTAAGATTGTCAATAATTTAGAAATGAAATTGATAATTTGCATCAAATTTAAAGGTATTTTTCATACTTTTTCTCATTATTAAATTATATTTTTTTCCATACTTCTTCTCATTATTAAATTTTATTTTCCATCTTTTCAACTATTCATTTTTTAGCTTAGTTGTCGACACTTCAAGTGTTGAAAGCACTTGTTTTTGTTTCCATCACCTATGGATCTTTGTCTATGGGACCTGATCCTTTAATTCTCTCTTTTTTGTGTTGTCAACATATTAATGGACGACACATTTATACTTATCATCAATGATGAGATAAGGCCAATACCTATTATCTTTTATAAATTTTATTTGTGAGATTAAAATTGATACATTATTGTTGTCAAAAAATAGATTATTAAAGATTACAATGAAATGATAGATAATATGTTCAATTTTTATTAAAAGTTTTAGTTAGAGACTAAAGTTATTTTAAGTTGGAGTAATTTACCCTTCAAATTAAATTTTGTGGTATGAATCTAAATTAGTGAAGGTAAGAATTTAGTCGTATTCGATATTTAGATCAAGTTTATAATGCATGACGTTTGTTTGTACATACACTTCTAGTATTTATATATGGTGGATTTACATAGTTTGATATAAACATCCTCGATACAAATAAATAATTACTTCAAGCCACAAAATAACTGGCGGATACCTGATAAAATACAGAGCAAATCCTTCACACATTCGATATAATCAAAATGGTACAAAAAGGATTAGCATGCCTCAACGCGAAACTAGAGAGTTGTTTATTGATGCACGTGAATTCAATTATTATTATAAAATGAATTTGAAGTTAATATAAGTATATATCCATAAATTTAAAACCTTTAATCTTGGCAAAATTGCTTTTATAAAAAAAAATGACACATACAAATAAACGAAAAATAACAATATGTTACTGTTCATAATAAAGGAAAGTAGTTATCTGAAAATACATCAAGCAACAATTATACTTTTTTATAACACTCTCAACATATAGTAGTTAAATCCAAATGGAATTTTGATACATTTGACTTCAAATGCATCATGCATGAATATCCTTGAATTTATTCAATACCCCAGGTTGCTCGGATTCTTTAGAAATGTATTTGTGCGATAATATTTTTGAAGAGTCTGAACAACATCGCCAGAACTAGTTATCTTGTTATATGAGATATGAATGAATCCAATTCTATACGTTTAATTCCACCCTCTGCCACTGATTTTCTAATTTCTACACTCAAATATTTTGCTTTGTTCCTCATTTCATCTCCTCCTTTTGATGCCATTAATTTTTCCACACATTTTTTCACCACATTTGATTTTACCAATTCATTCCTATTAGCCCATTCTCTAACAACAATTCCAATTTTAAGAATCTTGGTAATTAGTACAGCGTTTCTTGGTTGATCAGAATGCATTGGCCATGCAGCTATTGGCACGCCCATCGAGACACTTTCCATGCAGGAATTCCATCCACAATGACTCAAGAATCCACCAGTCGAACAATGTGACAAAATCTCCAATTGAGGTGCCCAATCTCTTACCAAAATCCCCTTTTCTTTAACTCTCTCCTCGAACCCTTTTGGCAACTCAATCTTTCTTGATGAGTCTTTAGTAAAAACATTCCCTTTATCCGCGTCTCTCAACACCCAAATGAACTTTTGTTCGCTCTGCTCTAGTCCAATTGCGATTTCCTTGATTTGTTCGTCAGAAAATGAAGTCGTGGTACCAAATGACACTAATATCACCGAGTTTGGTTCTTGTTTGTCGAGCCATAACAAACACGTGTGGCTTTTGGTGTTGGGCCCGTTCTTGGGAAATGTAACCGGGTTAAACGGGCCGAGGGCCCATTGTTTTTCGTTGTTGTTGGTCACTTCTTTCAACAACAAATCAAGAAAAGGACTTTCCATGACTCTACATGTGTTGTAAATCTTTCCCGAGTTAAACTTCATGCATTCATATTCTCTTTTCATAAGTTTCTCAAATTCTGGACTAAAACAACCTTCGAGAGAAGGAAGATCAATCAACATTTCAGAGTCTATAAGAAACGGCCTCTTTTTTCGCTCCCATATAAATAGGAGCAGAGTAAAAGCTGACACACTATGGAAAGTGTATGCCTCAGCATTTGGTACTGACACAAAATCTTGAACAACTGATCCCATCAGAGAGTCGTTTATGATAACGACTCTCTGATACTTGGATGAAAGCGTTTGGATTAACCTTTTCACAGGGTTCCTTAGATAAGACGATGATTCAAATGAAGATTGAAGATGAGATGGAAATTTAATTCGCGAATTTGGATTTGGATTTGGAGAGATGAAACTTGGAGTAGGAAATTCATGGAAATGAATTTTGGAAAAAGAGTCAAAACTATTAATAACTCTAAGTTTTGCTTGAAGATTATGTGTTTTTGTACTAACATAATGGACTTTTATGTTGTTATAAGATGCTATAAGGCAAGAGAGTTGTAGAAGTTGATTAAGATGACCTTGTGCTAGAAAAGGGACTATTACTACAACAATTTTTTGACTTTTTTGGTTATTTTTGCAAATATGAAGATTGGAAGCCATTGAAGAAATAAATTCCCAATGAATATTTTTAACTTTGTATGAGAAAATATGAACTTGTTTTTTATTTCTTGGCTAAAATTTTTGGTACAAACTTTCTCTTAACTCTACCCCCTATTTATTTAATTTGGAGACGGTGAGAAAATGTGTGGAGAGGGTGAGGACATGTGAATAACTGATCATGTGATATGTACAGAGATATAATTTGCTTATATTGAGTCACACGGCAATAAAAGTAGGTACGTGAAGTTAGAGTTTTAATTACGAGTTTAATAAAATGACGAAAATTTAATATTTATATTAAAAACTCTTTTTTTGTTCGTTTTTTTGTATTAAAAAGAATTAATGACAAAAAAAACATCATAAACTATCGTATTTGTAAGTTCCATACTCAATTATCAGTCGATTTCTTTTTCTACCTCAACTATTATAATCAAAACATCGAAGTTGATTAGGCCAACTATTTTCTTTTTCTATTTGAACTATCGTCATCTACTTAACTAATTAGGTGTGTTTTTAATACATAGATGACAGTAGTTCAAGTTGAAAAAAAGGGTAGATAATAATAGTTCAAAAATTCTAATGGAAAAAAAAAAAAAAACTAATAATTAAAATCGCAAAAAGTAATAGCTCAAATATATTTTTAATTATTAATTCAATTAAAAAACATAAATTCTAAATTCTAAATCTATTTGTTTCTAGTAGACATAAAGTTTTTATTGTAGGACATAGGTAGACATAAAGTTCTTATAAGACCTAATTTACACAAATTTTCACTTACACACATTCACTAGGATTTGTTTATTTTAGACACCTCATATCATGCTCCGTTATGTCTTTTTGACATTTTTTTGACAATCAGCCAAATGTGTAAGGTGTGTGTAACACACTCGCGAGGACATGTCAAAGTGACAAATTAAATAAAGACAAGTGGATATATGTCAAAAATAATTTTTAAATAATGAAATTTGTATAGAAAAAATGGTCAATCACTCAATGACACGTGTCATTTTTAAACCTTTTTTTTTTATTTTTAAACACAGCCTATAATAATTATCTTCTCCAGCAACTCCACCCCCAGACCCCTTTCCCACTACCCAATCCCTAAACCCCTCCCCCATCCAAATCGTTTTCTCAGTGAAATTTTTTCTTTCAACTATATGTTAGTTCTTCACTTAAGACGCAAGACTTTCTTAATTGTTTTTCTCCATTGGTTCTATGTTTTTTCATAAATCAAATTAATTGTAACTTGATCTACTAAAATATTGGTTGTTTTTGTTTTAACTAATTAGCACCATCAAATCTACTTCTCCATGGAAGTGGTTTAAGTTTTGGCAGATGGTGGTTAAAAAATGGGGAAGAAGATGAAAAAAATAAAATAAAAATGAATTTAATAAGTTTTTTACGCGCTGGTAGCAAGTGTAGCTCACTCATTATGTCATGTCAGCAAAAAGTGTCAAACTTACATAGCGGAACATGACATGAGGTGTCTAGAATGAACAAAGCCTAATTAAGGTGTTTAAGTGAAAATTTATGTCAATTTTAAGTGGTCACCGATGGATTAGGCCTTGTTATAATTATAGGACATTGTTGATTAGTAGTTTTCATATAATAAATGTACTTGCATAAAGAAGAGAGTTTGGTGTAATATCTGACTGGTGACAGCAGTGCTACAAAACTTCAAAGGAAAATATATAAATGAAACTGATAGATATAAAAGGTCATAATTAGAATATATTTTTATGTCTAGTTAAATTATTAGTGGTATGCAAATTCCAATTATATATACAAATAATCAGGGCGGACCTATGAAGGGCAGTGGGGGTGCCACGCCACCCCCAAACTTCGACGGAAACTCTATATATACATAGGTATATATACATAAGATTTATATAAATATAAAGTGTGTCACCCACAGAACAAAATAGGCTTGTGGTGCCATGGTAGGAGGGCAACTTTAGAAGGTTGAGGTTGCGGGTTCGAATCCCATTTGAACCTATTTTTTGAAAAATTGTTGAAGACGTTTTTTAAGTGAAAAAAAGGCTCCAAGCCCCCTTTTTTTTAAGGAAAACAGCTGGCACATTATTTTATTTTATTTTATAATTGTTATTGACTTAAATTAAATTAATTACATTACTCCTTTGACTTAGAAGTGTTCTCTTTCTCTTCAACTATTTCCAAACCCTTCTTCCTCCAAGTTTCAACTTCTCCAAAAAATTTATTACCCCATTCCGAACCCAAATCACTTCTTGTCGTTGCCGCCCCCCGCCCGTCTTAGCATTCCGTTCAGTGGCTAAGCCTCATTTGGGTGCGTTTGTTTTCACTTTTCTCCATCCATCCACAACTTTTTATAGATTGTAAGTTTGCAATTCTATTTTTGTAAGATTTTTTTTTATTTCTATTTCTTGAGTTCTTTTAAGTTTTAATTAGTGATGATTGATTTCATATGGTGTGCTGGATCATTGGCGGATCCGCCACTGCTTACAATTACTATGGTGTGCTGGATCAGTATTTATAAATGATTAAATGATTGTCTAGTGTGTTACATAGAGCGTGATGTATTTATAAATGTTAGTAATGATGTCATTATCGATCGTTTTCAGAATATGAAAACTCGTCGAGGACAATTGTAAATGAATGTTGAATATTTATAATATTAGTAAATAGTAATATTATTGAAAGTTTTAAATTTGTTAACTTCATGCTTTTAGTGTGGAGTGTGGATTTGTAATATCTTATTATTTATATTTTATTGATTGATTTATGATATATATCGAAAAGGCGAATAATTTAATCAAATATAAAATTAATTTAATCGATAAGTTTATTTGGCACCCCCGGACTCTAAATCCTGGATCCGCCACTGATCGAAAAGGCGAATAATTTAATCAAATATAAAATTAATTTAATCGATAAGTTTATTTGGCACCCCGGACTCTAAATCCTAGATCCGCCACTGCAAATAATAATTCACAGTGTTTCATGTTAGTAGTAAGGACAAAGAGAAAATAGATTATTTACTTGGAGATATCAATAAAAAATTGGTGAACTTTGATAAAGTTGTGGGTGGAGGGAAATTAAACAATCCCCCTTCCTAAATTTTGTTAGCTAGGGTGGTAATAAAGTTTTGTATAAGCAAGGGTTGGTGGAATTAAAGTACGTGGTTGGTGTAGCTAGCTTGTAGGTTTGTAGCTGTCGAAGTGTAGCATTAAGGTGGTTCGGTTGATAAAGTTTTATATAAATACCGACTAATAGAGTGAACATACGTAGATAGTGAATGTAGTTAGTTTGTAGTTGTTAAAGGGTAGCATTAAGATGATTTAAGTAAAAAGATCTTGATTAAGCTTGAATTATTATATTGAATATAAAAAGTTGACATAGCAGGTGGTTCAGTTGGTAAAGTGATCTTGTATTATAAGCTCTGGCTATTAATAGAGTGAACGTAGGTAGGGGATGTTACTAGTTCGTAGTTGTTAAAGTGTAGCATTAAGATGATTCAAGTATAATAAAGTGAACATAGGTAGGGGATATTACTAGTTTGTTAAAGTGTAGCATTAAGATGATTCAAGCAATAAAATCTTAATTAAGCACAAATTATTACATTAAATGTAGGTAGTTGATGAAGCTAGCTTGTAGCTATCGAAGTGTAGCATTAAAGCAGTTTGTTGGTAAAGCCTTGTATAAGCTCCGACAAATAGAATGAATATAGGTAGTGGATATAACTACTTTATAGCTGTTAATTAAGAAGGTTCAAGTGATAAAATTTTACTTAAACTCGAATTACTATAGTGAATGTAGTTAGTTTGTAGCTATCAAAGTGTATCATTAAGGTAGTTCAGTTGGTAAACGCCTTGCATAAGCTTCAACTAATAAAATATATATATAGGTAGTGGATGTAACTATCTTGTAGATGTTGAAGTATAGCATTAAGATAATTCAAGTAATAAAACATTGTGTTAAGCTCAAATTACTATAGTGAACATATATAGATAGTTGATGTAGCTAGCTTGTAGCGGTTATAATGTAGCATTGATGTGACTTGGATAGTAAAATCTTAGATAAGCAAGGGTTAATAAAGTAGATGTACGTACATAGTTGATCGATATAACTAATTTGTAGTTGTTAAAAGTATAATATTCTGATGATTAGGATGTTAAGCCCTTGAATAAACTCAAATTATTATATTTTAATTGTACACGAGGCCAAGAGTATATTTGAATTATGTAATTTCTTGATACATTAATACAAAGGGATTTTTTGGGTTCGTGCCCTGGATATGAAGAAAGTCCTATTGGGAGCGTCACCCCTAAATGGGCCCTGCGATGTGCAATTCAAATTTAATCGAAGCTTCAATATTAACTCCGAATACCGATCGGAAAACAAAAAAAATATACAAAGGGATTAGTTTGGATTGAAAAATCAAATTTGATGTGACAGATATTATTTGCTTATATATTGCAATAGGATGAGTCACATGTCACTAATGTAAGTAGGCTAAAAGTTCTCAATGTATAGGACAAGGTTGGTTAGTTATTGGAGTAGTATATTATTAATGTGCTTGCTTAAAGAATATTTTTTCTCCGTCTTAAATTATCTATCGTGATTTTCAAAAATTATCTTAAATTATAAATCATTTGAGAAGTGTAATTAAGACAAAATTATCTCATTTTATCCTAAATAGTTATTATTTTGAAGACTACAAATATCTCAATTATGCGATGTTATGATTATTCAAATATCAGTATAAGATAAAATAACTAAAACCTCCTCCTATTTAATTAAAAATGCGTATAAAGAGAACCATGACAAATAATTTGAGACGGAGACAGTATATGCCCTGGAACGTCAGTGCTACAAATTTCAAGGAAATTATCAATGAAATTGACAGATATAAGGGAACATGAGGAAATATTTTCATATCTAGTAAAAAAAATAGAAAACGTCAAATTGTACGTTACAACTTACAACTATTTTATAACTGTTAAAGTGTAGCATTGAGACGATTGATCGCTAATTAGTAAGGCCTTGGATAAATTCGAGTTAATAGAGTGAATATAGCTAATTTGTAACTATTTAAGTATGACATA